CGGATCAGTGTTTACCTGCCCTGTTTTCAACAACGGTCAGCTCTACGTTGCGCTGTTCAGGATGGGCAGTAACGAAGATGTGGAGGTATTTTGCCCAACATGGATAACGCGAAACGTCGTGTACGTTGAGGGAGGCCTTCTGAGGACGAGCCAGGACACGGCGTAAATGCTCACTATTCACACCTCCAGTTTGGTCTACCAGGCTTGCACCGCTTGCATTACTTGCACTGCCTCCAAATTTACGATCTGGAGTCCGGAGTATGCGGTCCGGTGTGGCTGCCTTTTCGCGGCAGACTGTCTGACACAAGAAGTTACAGAGAGCCACAGGCAAGCTAACAGTTGTTCAACTACGCTAACGGAACAGATCACGTACCCCTAGCGGGTACGTTATGGCGTTAAACGACCGTGATTTTCAGCGTTTGCAAAACAGTTTTCTTCGTTGACGTATAATCACAGCACATCAAATAAATCACAATCGGCAACCACCAGGCGGCTGAATGCGAAGGGGGGCAATTCGCCAAAGCTCTACATGAAAAGCTCGGGCGGTGGTAGGTGCCACATTATCGACGCGAGACTCAAGCCATCGACCAAAAGCCCACAGGTCTTACTCGTCTATATATTATGTGGTTAGGGTGCGTGCCTGTCTGTCCTGTTTTGCGTTGCGTCGTCCACGGGCCGAACGGCGGGCCGCTGAATGGTGCAATTTGGACACGACACGCAGGCGCAAGAAGCGGTTTTCCACGGGTAGATCGCGAGCCGCTACGGACCGGGCTTCGGGCGTGGCACGTGGCGGAAGAACCGTTTTAGGCCCATGGGCCCAACGTTGGCATTTCGAAAAACCGTGCACAATGCAACACGCCGTCGTCGTAACTGCAGCCAGAGTCGTAATGTAATTTACATCACTGCGCGCACCAATTCATTGCGTGTATTTATCACGCTTTTTTTGTTATTCTGGGCGCTGCCCCGTCGATACATCAACATTACCGAAACGGCAGCAACTCAACACTTTCGCGTAGCCAAATATGATCCGACGCGAATTGTTTGCTTTGCGAAATGCCACAGAAACCACACGTCAAATACAGAATAATTTGCAACGGGTTCCATCGGAAGACCCAGGAAGTGCACGAAGATTTCAGCGAAGCTTGTTGCTATGGCAAAACAGCACTGTCATTGGCTTTGCGGTGTGAGTTTTGGAGTCACTAAGAAGTCCGAACATTGAAACATTGTACGAACACAAACATTGCGGCAGCATTGACAAGTGGCAGAGGCAACATCACGGAGGTCTGGCGCTTACAGCGATAGCAAATGCGGCCCTCTTGAGCATTGCATCGCATTTCTTGAACAATGTATAACAACGCTCCAACCCCAGTGGAAATCTGGAGAGCAAGACTTGAACGTCCCTGGCAGTCGGCACATCACCCTGGTTCCCGTCAGCCATCTTGGCAGCTAGAGTTCGGTGACGTATCTGAAGTCCAGGCAACAACAAATAGTTGATCTCGAAGCCGAAGTCTGGCTTCAAGGGAGGAAGCTATGAGGCTTTCCCCGAAACTGGTGGCGTCGTACCTTTAATACGCGCTCGGGAGGGAAGGCTAAGTTGACCTCTCCCCTCCTGATTTATGTGTGGAATAACATCTGAAAGGCGCAGTGTAGCCACACAACACTCCGTTTAACCGTAATCAATCGAATAGCCGACCTTCTGCCATGAAAGATTAAACATACCTCACAATGTAGCTGTCCTGTAGCATGTCGAAGTCAAGCCATGTTTATCAGAGAAGGGAAAATGTGGGCAAAATTAAAAGTCGATGTGACGACGGAGTGTTAGACGAAGTCACACAACATTTATGCAGTTTCTTATGCAAAACGATAATTGAGATTAGAATTACGCCTGCTTTCACCGTCCTCGGGTTAAGTATGAAGGCCAGATCATGGTCAAAATGACTGCTTTTCGTTAAACAATTTTAATGCATAGGTAGTTTTTGACGCTCTCTTCGAATTCTACGGCTCAAAAAGACATCAACTGATCTGTTTGCTTGAATTAATCAGGCGTAAGGGAGCTAAGCAAGGCTAAGGGAACTTTAGGGGAGACTAAGCTAAAAAATAGCTTTTGTAAGTCCTTTGCCTTAAGGAACATGCCGCTTGGGGTAGCTGTTCACGTGGCTTGCAAATTCAAAGATCAAGATAATCTCGAAGGGTCGTGGCCATTTTGGGCTTCTCTAGGGCAACTGAGGTCAATGACCTTAGGTGAGCACAATACCTTTCGCTTAAAAACATATATGTATATATGATTAAAATGATTGCGTGACGTCTGAGGGCACTTCGGACACCTCTCAAGCTTGACCTTATTTGACCCGATGATAATGACAAAGAGACTCTAAAAGTTGACAAATTTTCACACAGACCTCGCATGTAAATCTGGTACACCCAGCTTTTTTAGCTTCCATATCTCAAAGACAGGAGATAAATTGATCCCCCACCCTGCGACCGAGCGCATAGCGTTCAACTGGCCACCCGGAGGCGTGTTAAAATGTGAAATCCTAAGACACTGACTTCGAAATCCATATATATGAGGCCAAAGTCAATGTCAGCGGTTTCCAACTTAGGAAACGCGAAACCGTAGGCGAACACTTCAGATTAGAATGATGAACCCTGTCTATTATGCATAACGCTGTTTCGTGGAACCAATGCAATTTTCGCGACTGTTAAAACAGTATGGGACCAGAAAGTGTCATAGGATTTCATGCAAGACGCTATTTTACGCAGAGCGACAGGGTGGTATCATTACCTTGCGCAAAACCTTACACTACGTTTCCATCTTGTCAATGTCTACACGATGCTGCCGACAGGCAACTCTCCGAAGGCGTCAGTGGTCAATTGGTCCTGAGACTGATCCGACTGTGCTGGGCTTTCAGGCATGCATGCGCCGCCGTTTCGGAGCGGTGTGTGGTACGCTGGTGACAGGGAGGGTGAGATTTTTCTGAGAGAAAAGAGGCAACTGTAGACAGAATCCCATGACCAAGCCGACGCAAGCGGTTTAACAGGTCATCGTCCATATTGGTACCTCACGCTGGAAGCCTACATTGTTCATCAACTGACATTTTTAATGCATCAAACACCCTACAATGTCCTAAAACACGGGCATTTTAGGGACATCTCGCGATCTACATCTTATCATCTAACCTTCAAAATATAATAATCACGATAACGACAGGCGTCGGTCAGACGTTGGTCTGTCACACTGATGGCACGATGCTCGCACATCAAGGTCGTCCCGACGGATCTACCACCGTTCGTTTTTTCAAAGTGAAGTTTTTGCGTACTGTTTGCCAATTGATTGACATGAGGGCTAAATATGTCTTAATATGGTAGGAATATGACATAAAATATAATATTGAATGCCAAGGGGCCGATGAGTAACAGGGGGGTTGGTTGGGGAGGTTGGCCAGGGTGGTTAATTCCGATTAGGTTGGGATAGGTTGGGATAGGTTGGGATAGGTTGGGTTAGATTGGGTTAGGTTGGGTAAGGTTATTTAGGTAAGGTTTAGTTCGGTTCCAAAAGGCTGGGCTAGAATCTGGTCCTTTTGCCTACTGGTCCCAGGAGACCGTTTTCGCGGAGGAATTGCGGGTCATCAGAAGCCCTCAGTCTCAAACCCCAGTTTTAACAAGTTGCTAAGCGGTTCCACTTTGTGGAGCTCCATATTGACTTATGGTTCAATGTCGCTCGTCAACATTGCTTGAATACATTTTAGTTCAAACAAAAAAAGTGTCACACCTCTGAAGTTCGAGTGTTCTCTACCGCAATTATGAAACTTCGAAGAAACGATTGAAAATGTATTTTTCAGATTGCTCGCAATATTTTCTACCTTAGAGAAGACGACCTGTGTACAATGCTCTCTTTTAACGTAAAGTACCTATATCTACCTTGACCGTTCGAGATCGCATGACGCAGCATCGAAACGATTATTTACAAAACCGTTCGAAATCGAAGCCAAAGACGGAACCAACCATTAAAATAGCAGAGCCCAGGCCAACGGTCTGAAACGAAACGAAGCAAAAGCTGAAACTAGCCGTGAAAATGGCTCGGAGCCGAGCCCAAGCCCGAAGGCATTGGAAGGACACTGTGGCTCCGCAAAGTCGAAGCCACAACCGGCTTCGTCTCCCTGCCGGGTTGCGGTAAAAGGCGAAGCCTGCCCTTCAAGGCTGGTAAAGCAAGGTGGACGAGTTGAAACTGCGCCGCGCAGAGACAGCAAAAGCAAGCAAGCAAACAAGCAAAAAAACACACACATCATCATTCCAAGTATTTCACGTAACAATAGACACCATGGGCCGAAGCCTCTATCAGGCCACCCTAGCAACCGGCATAAGCAATTTACACAGACGAGCGCAGAACGGCATGAACAATTTACTTCTATATCACGTGCACTGTGCACCGCACTGAATTCCATGTCACCCAGACAAAACAGATTTTCGTTATGGATCGATCGCAAATTTTCATCAGGTAAATATGTGAGTTAACATAAACAAAGACTTCATAACCACATACTGCTTTCTTGTTTCATTGACTCACATGGAGTTAATTACCGGTGAAATGTGCGATGTATATCGAAGTAATAGACATCGAGGCAATGGGACGTGGTGCGAACAATGAAATGAATGGCATAAAAACACCAAGTGCGGCTAAACGTTTTAAGCATCCCAATAGTCACTTTCAAGATTCACGTGGTTCACACGTGAGCAGCTTCAAGGACAGCAACGGTCTCCACATATCTATCAATGTGTTTGGAAATGAATGCTGGTGAACCACGATACTGCAAATGTAGCAGCAACAGCCTCTCAGCCCATATTCTCTGCTTTCCGGCAACATTTATTGCGAATGTCCGGTGTTCTTGTCAGGTCAGTCCCTGCCCTGGGCCTCTGCGCTCCTCTGTGTGGCTGATGACGCCCACCTTTGACGAGCGCGCTGGTGCGGCGCCGCGGCCGGCTGACCCCGCCGCTCGGCCTACCTTTGACGAGCGCGCTGGTGGCGTCCTCCAGGAAGGCGGTGTAGCGCACCAGCTGGCTGAGCCGCTGGTAGCGGGTCAGCACCACGTCCGGACCGCAGCCGGGCGTCAGGCTCGTCACCGACATCAGCGTGCAGGCCATATGAAGGCTGCGCTGTCTGGACCGCACAGACACCGTCAGTCGGGTGCCCCCTCCCCCTCCCCTCCACGCTCCGTCGACAGAGGAGACCAGACCCGTGCCGGCTGTCTGTGGCTGTCTCCTTGCAATCGCAACCACATCGAAACCGTTTAACAAAACTCCGTGGGAAAATGCGCGCAGGCAGTTCTTTCAAAAGGTTTGGTCTGTTCTGGAAAATGCCCCTCCCCCCCCCCCCCCCCTCTCAGCCAGTCGACCCGATAGAAGCCGGGAAGTGTGGATAACTCCGGCATTCACTGAACCGTTCCACCATTTGCCGTCTTCATTGGGATTTTCCGCTCTTCACTAGTTACAGGGGATAGCACGTGGTCCGAGTTTAAATTTATCACATCTATTTATGTGAAACCCATGGATATACAATAGGACATACAATATTCAAATTGCAAGCAACATCCATGAATTTTACGGAGAAGCAATACAATTTGGGACGACCCCCAAAGTTCCCAGCCAGACCAAGCTAAAAGCTTGCGAAGAATATACGATCACATGCTACGAATGAGGTTGTCCTGCCTGCACCTGGCATGTCTGCATCAGTAGTCTGTACCATTCTGTAATCTGTTCACGCTTCGCACCAGCATGTGCTGGTACGAAGTGTGGCTCAGTTCCACAAGCTAGGTTCATCGGAAGAACTTCCCTTACTGCCACACGCTGGTGCGATGGTCAAGCCGTTCCACACACCACTATACAGCTGGGTGCTTATTTGGCGGTGGAAGTCATCAGGGTGTCGACTATCGATTTTTTCTCTCCTCTTAAACCAAGGAATGACGAGGGGTCATTTCATTGTGTAACAAGTCATTTTGGAACCCATTTCAGCTATTTAGTGTTTCTGAATTGCGCAAAATATGCTGAGGAGAATTGGGCGTTTTGACTGGTAAGTACTAGTAACCTAACGCGTTAACGTGCCAGAAAGGTCACATGACCAGATGCTGTTGCTTTCTACTTGGGATCTTGTGCACCATAACCCAGACGACCGCCACCCACCTCTCATTCTCTCTGCGAATTCTTCTCTGCGATGACTGGGTCCCTGGAGACAGTTCGCAGAGCTCTCTGCCCCTTCGACGCCTGAAAAAGGGCAAGGTGATATAGTCATCCTCAGCTCTCCCTGCGCGCCAACGTTTTCTCCCTTAATTCAGTCCAAAAGAGGAAGAGTAGGCTTCTTCCACTACTTCGATGCTTTACTGCACTGAAATTTAAGAGGCTGGGTCTTCCAAAGACGACAACCGAAATTAATTTCTGGAACGGGGCGAAGATTATAGTTTCAACAGCAGCTTGCACACCCGCCAGTGCCTGCCAAACGACGGAGTTGTTGGCAGTTGTGTTTATCTGCATCTTGCTTGCGTGAAGGTGGGCCTTCGGTGTACAGTTGCATCATATTTAAAAGTACCACCATGCTTCGCTTACCGCCCTGAGGAACTATGCTTATGTTTACGTCAGGCATTTATGATGTTATGATGTCAGATGTTATGTTTATGTTTATGTCAGATACTCACCGAACTATTGCGCAGAATAGAATACAGAACCTCGCTAAAGGAGCACACATCGGGGATGATGCTGAGTCTTTGCATATGATGCAAAACAGATAACTGCTTGGCCCATTTTCTCTAAAAACAGTCCTCTATCAAAGGCTTTTCGACAAAAGGCATGGCAATAATCCTGTCATGTACTTCATGAACCTCCATCAGCCCGACAGCATGACCTGGCGCGTGGCGCCATCTCTGTGAATAGGTTGCAACTGTAGCCTGTGACGGTTGAAGTGAGGGCCACCGCTGGCGTCGGCAGCGCTAACTAACTTTAACTAATGTCATTGGGTGTCCTCTCTACAACGCTTTCCCATATATTTCAGCAACGCAGCGACCTCTGCTCCAGCCGTCAATAATTAGAACGCACCGTGGTCAGTTTCATGCGCGCTAATGGCAACAACATGGGACAGCATAAGTACGTCAGGGAATTTTCTTTTTCCTACGTCTATAAAACTATATCAGAAGATGAATTGAAATAACACCGGTAACACTTAAAATTCATGTTAAAATCCTGTGGACTGTGAAATATGCATCCAAATCACCATTTACCTTGAACAAAGCGCGAACACAAAGCATAACGAAAGTAATGACCTAGTCATATTGAGAAAACATGTGAAAGTTGGGCAGTAAAAAGTTTATTCTTCTAGCGAATTGACATATATCATGACTTACGTAAACTTCTGCAAATTACTACTACTAAAACAAAAACAAAATTATCAGCCAAAGCAGCCTTGCTGTGATATCATTACCTTTCTGCGCATAAAGTTTGGCAGATTGCGTGAATTCGTCCTGTAGAAATACGACGGAAAGTTTTCCAAGGTAATCAGAAAAATCCCACCCTAGCTTGCCTGAGTGCCCTTCGGTTCAAAGCATTCGGCAATTCAAAGCCCACAGCGTAAACCCTGAGCGCGCTATTTAAAATGAGCTGTCCGTTTGAACTGACGTCGCCCCACCATTTCGCCAGACAATGCGAAAGGGTCTAAGTGCCGCACCGTGCTGCTGCGTGTCTGCCCGGGTTGACCCTCGTTGGCTTGTTACCAGGTAATTCGTCCATGTCAGTTGGGTCGTGCAATGCGCCCGCTCTGGGACTTCGGAACCAACATAGGAACGGAGCATCAAAATCATCGGGACAGACATTATTCAGCTTATGAATCACAGTCATTCGAAAGTCTCGGGGCCAACTATTTGTATGCAGCAAATGAAGGTCTGCGCGCTTACTGAAAATCCGGCCTGCTTAGCTTGCTTCCACTTGCATAAGAACCCAAAACGTCGTTTGACAGCATGGAAGCATTTTACTGGTGGTGCATGGGTGCAAAATTTTTTAACACATAATCTAATATAGAATTGCGGAACACGTACCACATGTCAGCACACGTATATACTTAGATATAAATCCTACGCCAAATGTGTGACGTGCAAACTGTTACAGCTGCGCACAAAGCCCGTGAGCGAGGCGAGCCTGCAGGTCTTGCATGTTTGTTTGAAACATACGCTGACACGCGGACCAGCGACCAACTACCCGCATGTAGCATAACCTGCGCCCCTCCCCCGACGGTGCGCACGGCGGCAGGACAGCGGTCCTTTGCGTATCGAGCGGCGTCTCTCATTAATGAGTTGCCTGTGGATGTTAGACATCTGCATTCAACAAGTTTTAACCACGCCGCCAGGTCCTTTTCTGCGAGATGGGGTTGTCTCATACTGTTTATGCGTGCGCGCGTTTATGTTTTTTACCCCTTATCCCTTTCCGTTGTTGTATTGTTTTATCTCTCAGACTGATAAGTTTTGACGCGGAGACTGACTGATAACCGTTTTAAGTGCGGATTACTTCTCTGCAGTTTCAACCACCCATATGATCATATCGCTTCAAACACGACGCCAGCCAAATAAATTTTCCATCTAGGATCACTGCTTTTGGCCGTTTTTGGTGACGTCGATGTAATACTTCGGTGTGGAAACTTTTTCAACCGTAGGGAGTGGAAACTTTCGCTTTCTAATTTAGACGAACGGCTTTGTAAAACTTAGCGCACTGCATCCGGGTGAGATAATGGATTCAGACCTCTCATTCATCTACGACTTACAAATACTATGTCATTTGAGGAACACGCTTTACATAAAGCCCCGCACACATTGCATCATTTACTAATAAGAACCCACCGGTGTGCGTCACATGAGCAGTGCCAAATTAGGTCATGGAGACCAAATGTAGCATAGGCCACAGGTCAAAATCATCGGGCCACACCCTATTTTATTGAGGCCTACGCACAGCATGGCAGAACTGCAGCCGGTTGGCGGTTGCCAAATTACATAGAATGTACAACAGTTTGAGCTATGTCAAAGCCTGTGATTTTCCGGACATATCTCCCTTGTTTTTCTTTTGAGTGGGCATTGGACGGTGTTCGGGTATATGAGAAAAACTCATGGGGGTCCTTGTTAGGCTAGTGTTAATAACTCGGACATGTACATGGGAATATATTGCATTCCATGGCTGTATCATGCATCGCCATGTGAGACCGATGGTGAACATCACCTTACAGTACTAGCCTGGCCATTACCTATGTCCCCGCGTCGTCACGTTGGTTGCAGCAGCTTCCCACGAACACTCGTAGCCGTCTTCCCAGGGCCCATCGCCACCGGCACCACCAGTCCCCATCCACGACATCTTGATTCGCACTGAAACAACACCTAATTCTGACGCCACTCTGCTGCAATGCTGCAACTGTCTATACATTGCGAAACCTTGAGGGGGTAAGAGCGGATTTACAGGGCGACAGCGTCCCTCCCCATAGGCACATAACGGTAAATAAAAGTGCTAGAGGTGTTCATGAGTGTATAGTGCATGTTCTGGTGCCAATATTGTACGGTTTGCGTACTGAATGCAGTTAATTCAAGCCATTCTATTCAGTGCGACACCCATGCAGGCAGGCCTGGAAACACAGGCCTGATTTTGACGACGATGACGACGATGACGATGATTTGATGACGATGACAGATTTTGACGAATTTAGTTGGGCGGAGGTGGGGCACATCTTTAAATCTGGAGCAGCCTATCAAATTGTTTTGGGTGCAAATGATTAAATTGGACTTTTAAGAGTTGTAACATCACAGAAACCGGTCAAACCTGATGCCCAATCATTTGGGGATTAGTCAGGTTAACGAAATCCGCCATAAATGGGGCAGTCACGCATCTTTTATGGAGCAGGATTCTGTCTGCCACAAACACCTCGTTGGCATGTTTGCTACTGGTTGCAGGATGGTCTGCCGGCGAAACCCGGGACGTCAACTGGAAAATGCCCCACCACCACGCGAGGTAGCAAACCTTTTGTGCCTGCTTGGATAATCGATACTGCGTGACGATACTGACATGACATCCAGGTACATGGCTTTTACGTACCTTTTGCCCGCTGATTCATGCACACAACCCGCACAGCACCCGAAAATTGACTGGGCAGCTGACCGTTTACGCGTGCAGTTTGCCTCTTTTTCTGCTTCCTTCAAATGGGGTTTGAGTTGGTTTTCAAGAACTTTATAAAAACCACCTTACATTTGATGTGATAAACAGCAGCACTGCTAATTAAAAATCGTGATGTCTGGAGACATTCTCAAATCAAAACATGCGTCAGCCTTAAAAGCAGTCGTCGGATTTTCGTCACGGCGCAACTGGTGAGGCGTAGTGGGGAAGTGCTTCTGTCATTTCAGAGGCCTCCGAGCGCCTTTTCCCTAGGGGCGGAAGAACGATCTTCAGGTTTGTGAGGGCAGGGGCGTTGGCGTAGGAACAATTTGGTCTGGGCGGTGGGGGGGGGGGGGGGGGGGGGGCGGCGGACAGGATTAGTCCGTGAGTAACTACGGATGTGAGTAGGATAAGCGCCGAGCTAGCGAACGCTGGTACGCGTCCCAGTTTTCGTTGTGCCCGTCCGTTAGGAGTGCTGGTCTCAGCACGAATGTACATACGTGGATATGCACAGACTTAAAACTGCAAATCTGAATAACATTGAATCAGAAGCGCGAAAATGTGACTTTTTTTGGAAAAATTTCGTGACTAACGATTCCGGGAGCACGGTCCCACGTATCGCACACCTCCGGGCGCAAATCAACGCCATCCTGTCGGCCTCGAATAACCTAATCCCTAGTTTCAGTTTGCGGTGAATGTTTTACGGTTTTGGAGAACTTCTCTCCTTCGAAGGCATTTGAAGCGTTATAATTAATATCACTGAGGCCTTAGGACGACGCGCTGACGTGCGAGTTCATTTTGCGCCCAAGGATGTATCAAACAATCATATCATACCCCAATTATATTTATCTTTATAATCGGGACTTAAAGAGAATATTACATGTTTGGAGATAATGCCGCAAGCATCAGATATGATGAAATAAGCTCGTTTGCAAGCACTGGTATACTTGGTATACACATGTGACACGTGTAAAAACTGCTCGAGACAACAAATTCTCACTGCTCAGCAAATATGATCCTGAATATGTCATCGTTTGATTTCGACATAGAAGGTTTGTACGACGTCAGAAGGGCTGCCAAACCGACCGTGCGGAATTTCCATCGTAGCCGGTGGGCAGACTCGCTTGCAGTACTTCAACTTCTCGAGAGATGTCGTGTTGATCGGAGTAAAATTTCCAGATCCCAAATTTTGTGATGTGCGCATGTCTTGGCTTTTTCGTCGTGTTCTTCCATATAAATCCGTGATTTCATTTTGTGCAGTTGCATTTACATCCTCGATTATGACGTCACTGTTCAGCTATTCGATTCTCAGTCATATTTCCGTCCAAGTGCGCACCATTGTCCACCTTCCTGGATTACGTAGCAGACAGCGTAACTCCCCGTCAAGCCTTAGACTGAACGAGTTCAGCTGAGTCAAAGCCAGTTGAAGTCCATCGGCATCAGAACTCGTGCTGCCCTACGCCGGAGATGATTAACTGGACGATCACATCCATGTTGGCCTTGAGCACCACATAGCTAATGCGGTGACAGCATTCACGTGACGCTTCCATGGCGTCATGCATGCCTTGATGACTTTGAAGTAGTCTTCACGAAAATGTCTGCTCAAGTTCGTGGACATTTATCTCAGAAACCAGAAGGTTTTAAGTAATGAAGGGCAGGGCTGTGAACGCACTGAATGATCTTCGAAATGGCTATCCCGGTTGAAAACTCCATATAAATATGGAGCACGCTCTTTGTGTTCCATATTTGTATGGGTTTTGGACAGAAATAAGCATTTCGAGGGTCATTCGGTACAATTCACAGCCACGTCCCTCAAAGGACCTAGAATCTTCTAATTTCCAGGCCACACGCCCGCGGAGATGTTCAGACCAATTCGGCAGGCGAACAGGCCGACACGATCAAGTAAGCAAGCTACAGTCACGACCCGCGGAGAGTCTCGGCAGACGACACTGGCCATTGAAGACACGCGTAACGCCTGTTCCGCCGCGCGTGATCTGCGCGGGTGAGACGCACCGACCGCAGGGGTGTCAGCAGTTTCAGAATCCGTCTTCCGGCAACATACCCAAACTAATGTGAGATAGCAAGCTCTGCTTCAGGTGCCTTGGTGAGGAGAGGGGGGGGGGGGGGACACTGGGCCCAAAATTGCCGCAACGTGTGATCTTGCGGGAAGGACGGCTACCGCGGAAGACACTACCGTCTGCCCCACTCGCCAGCACCAGAATTGTGCGCAGCAAAGCAAGTCACCGGAGCGGAGAATCCCCGGAGTGTCATGGCGATAAATCTTACTTCACTGAGCAGTCGCGTGTTAGGCTATGCTTGATGCGTTGCTGAAGTCGTACCTATGAGGACTTACGGGACGGAGGGTACCTATCAAGACACGTGCGCGCTCCTAGACCCATAACGGAGGCCTCCTGATTAATAATGGATGCCCCCCAGTCCGTACTAGGGCATCCTCGTTCAAATCAGAGGCTTCCTAGTGCAGAACGAGTGCCTTCTAGCTCATAAAGGAGGCCTTCAAGTTCGTAAGGGAGCCTCCATGTTCAAGACAGGGACCTCCTAGCTCATAACGGGTGCCTCCTTTTATATAACGGGCCTCCGAGTTCACAATGGGGGTCTCCTCGTTCATAGCGGGGTCTCCTAGTTCCAAATGGGGGTCTCGTAGTTTAAAACGGGGTCTCCTAGATTATAACAGGGCCCCCTGGTTCATAATGAGGGCAACATAGTTCAAAACGGGGCTCCGAGCCCAAAACGAGGGTATTCTAGCTCATCAAAAGCGGCCTCTTAGGTCATAACGGTCGCTTACTGAGTCTCTCGATGTAGAAAAGAGTCTTCTGAACCAGATTCAGTACCCACTAGCCAAGTGGGCCTCCTTGGTTGGAACTTTGATAATGTGAGCTTTAAGAGTTTGCTTGGGTTAAAAATACCTCTAATTGTTGTTGGGGAAAGCGCATTTTTGCTTTGCCCCCTCTGACCCCTCCCGCCTTCCTGCGGCACCCCCTAACAATGACAAGGATATTTTTCGCACAATTAAGACTGCGGTGACATTCGAATTATTAGATTATGGCGAATGAAATGAACGAGAACGAGTCTCTCGTGAACACCACCTCAGAACACCACACCGCTACCACTCCATCGCTCTTCGGGTCTTCAGGGCGGTCCTGGGATGACTTCGCGGAGGCGATCGGGACAAAGTATGACTCCATCCGAACAGGTCGACGCCGCACACTACTACGAGCACACTTGTCATTGTTGATGGAAATGTGGGCAGTTATTTGGGTCACCCTGTACTTTTAAAAGGCTTCCACATATTGCAGTAAATGCCTGTTATACCAATACATGCGTTGTCATGTGACAGGCTTTTCAGACATTTACAGGCTGTCCTAATATGTAAAGGCGTTGACATAATAAAAACATTGAGTACATACAGGATATTATTTGGTACAACGTGAACATGCTAATAATGATGTGTCTAGTTACCGAGTGTACGATAAGTGACGATCATATTTCTCGATTTATTCGACTCAGCATTCCCTTCTTGTTCAAAGACATGAAGAGAACTCAAAGGAGCGTTGAGGGGGCTCAAGCCAACATTGGGAAGTGGACTAAACCCCCCCCCCCCCTACAATGTGTATAAAGTGTCGCCCTGGACGCGGCCAAGGTTTCTAAAAAATTGAATGATTGTCAAACATGACGAAAGCCTGTACAGAAGCCTATAGATGAAATTAAAATTTGTGCACCTCGGGCGAAGAACGTATAATAACCGAAGCGACAGGAAGCTGTTCATCCTTGCCTACACCTGACACAACCGAATGTTTTTCTCGCAATGCTGTGTGTCTGTTAGATACGCCTATTCGATATTCAGAATATTTGCTATGAGTTTTGATTACGGTCAAAGAAACGACGTCCAATTATCTTGAGGAACACTAGGCGTGCACGAGGAACATGTGCCAACGAGCTTCTTCAGCGTCCTCTTTTTTATCTTCTCATACCATGTGCTGCCCTCACACTGGTGCTCTTTTTCTCGTTGACCTCGCATCGATATAGTATCGTGCTGCCACCTATGAAGCCGCGGGATAATTTAACAGATGGCTTGGCGTGTGGGGCTTGTCACGTGCGGCAGCGGACTGTTGAGGGTGCGTCTGTGAAAACGTGCGATTTGACAGAAAACGGACCCTTCTTTCGGGCAGGAAGGAGTCGTCAGGATGAGGTAAGCTGCTACCTCTGGTACTGAGCGTTGTTTGTCGGGGTTCTGGCCGGATATGTGGGCGCGGGCGTAGCTGGAGCCTGGTGCTGCCGGGCGTCACGGCGCGCGGCACCGGGAACGGTACGCGCCGGCGAATGGCCGACGCGTGAGTCATGCCGACGTGTACGGCCCGCGAACACGACCGGCTCCTGTGCATGCTGGCGCCACTCGCGCACGTTTTCAGAGGGCTACAGGGCGCTTCAGTCCGGCCCGCGGACAGTCCTTTACTCGGGTAGGCGCGCTGCCTGTCCGATCGGCCCAGCTGCCAGCCTTGGCCGCGCCGTCCGTCACGGTCACCTGCACACGGCCTGGCTGCGACGGCCGCCGCCTGCCCGGGAACCGACCAAGGGCGGCCTGCAGCAGACACCAACTCAGGCCCCCGTCTGCGTGGGTGGCATGAGTGATGCTGCTCTTATAGGTGCGCGGGTGCATAGCCATCTACGAAGGAACAGCGATCGAGGGCAAGTACCCAGGGCAGTTGGCGCGCCCTTAAAACTCAGTTAGAAGAAGGTCAGACAGGGACGATTTAAGCCACCACTTTGAACCCAGAAGACTGATCTGCTACTCTCTACCGCAAAACCTTATGCTTTAGCCCCCCCCCCCCCCCCGCCCCCGGCGTCGTACGACAAATAGATGAAGGCATCTTCTAGCTACACGAGCAATGTCGTAAGACTTCCTGTGCGGAGAAGGTGGGCCGCCGGAGTACTTGTTAGCGCTGTATGCGCCGATGTGTGAATTACGCGGCAAACTCAGATAACGGAATACTCTTCATCAGTCCCCGAGT